CCATTGACCTGGCTCTGTGTGGCCCCAGTGGGAGCTGGGGGAGGGCATCCAGTTTGTAAGCTGAGGTGTGCCCTCTTGCTTGGCACTCGGTGTGCTTTCTTGCAACAACTTGGCATGTAGGGAGGCTGGGGCAGAGCAGGCCTGGCTGGGTGGGGCCAGGGGGCAGTGCCTGTTGCCTCAGCCACCTCTGCCCACACTTGGCAAGGAGTTAACCCCTCACTCCCCAGGCCACTCTCTTCCCCTTCCTAGCTCACTTGAGATTCTCTGAGAAAATTCCTCTGGCCTCGCTCTTTCTCCAAAGCCAGTTCGTGGAGGAAGCCTCCTAAAATTCCCAGTGCCTTCAGTGGGTGGGAGACACGTTGGAGCCACGGGCTGGGTCAGTTCCCTGGGACAGTCTTCACCCGGACTGGGGAGGAATGCCTTTTCAGAAAGGCGACCAATTCTGTCTGCTTGTGGCTTAAGTAAGGTCATGTCTGCCGTACCTGGCGAAAAATCCACCCCGTCACCTGGGTGTGTTCCTTTCGGTGTCTGATGCCAAACACCTGTATGTCTACTCCAGAACGATGGTCGTGACATTCCTGCAGAGCGACACAGACAGGCAGCCTCAGGCATCTGTCAAGCAAGGAGACTCCAGAATACTGCCTGGGCCAGAGTTTACCAAATATCACCCCTACATCAGTTTGGTGTCATCTTCTAGTTTCAGTGCTAAGGGACAGAAGGGGGTGGAGAGTGGCCCGATGCTCCAGCAGCTGCTGGGTCTCATAGGGCATGAGGCAGGTTGGCGCTCCTGCCTGGTGCTCCTTGCCCACCACCTTCAGCACCCACACCAAGGCTTGCGGCCAAGGAGGAGCCTTAGCGCCAATGCTGCCCAGGGTAGGTGGGTGGGCGGGCAGTGAGAACGGGGTACAGGGAGGACTCAGGCGTCAGCATGGCCTTTCCAGAGGCTGTGCAGCAGATTCTCTTAAGCCCTGCCTGCTTCTATCCTGATTGGAGCCATCGCCTCTGAAGTTACACCACACCCTAAAATGGTGTGTGGGTAGTGCCGTGTACTTACTAAAAATTACCCAGGACCCCCGTGATCAGATGGGTCTAGTTTGAAGTCCTGAGGCTGGTGAAGGAAAACCACACAGGGCATGTCCACAGAGGGACTCAGCATAGGGGACAGCAGATGGGGTGGAGGGAGAGCAAGAGCCCTGAGGGACCGTTGGGTGGCACACAGAGTTGCAGGAAGTGGTTTCCACCCCTGGGGCGGGGGATGAGGGGGTACAGGTCGCTGAGGAGGGGCCCCCTGCCTGGTTGGTCGCAGTACTTCGGAGTGGCAGCAGCGATGCTGAGGGGAGAGAAGGGCCACTGTCCAGTGGTGGTGATAGAAACAGGCCGGGGACAGAAGGTGCAGCCATGTGCACCTCCATCTTTCTCTCCTCCACCCTGTGCCCCTTCGCGTTAGAGTCTTACAGGGAGCCTGGTGGGGTCCCAGCTCCCTGCAACAGAGGAAAGTGGGCCTTCGCTTCCTAACGGGCACAGCTGGCTCTGGGGGCTCTGGTGTCTGACCCCAAACCCCTGGCTCCACACTCACCGGGCAGCACTTAGCCCCCGGCCAACCTCAGCTGGTGGGAGGCTCCTTGTCTTCCTGGGCCATTGTCTGGGCGGCACCCTTCAAATCCCACTGCCCTTCCAGACCCGATTGAAACACTACTACATTTCAGAAAGAAATGATAGCGTCTCCAGCCTCCCTTCTTCCATGGTTGTTGCGTTTTAGTACTCAGATGAAACCCTGCATTCTGGAAGTTTCCATGGCTTACTCTACCTGAGCACAGGAGCTCACTGGGACTTGTTCCAGGAACAGCGTGAAGCACAGTGCCTGGTACAGAGCTGCATCCAGAACTTTGAGCGAGTCGTGCAAGTTGCCGTGCAGAGGCCATGGAGTAGCACACCCTGGCTTGGCCATGGGTGGCCATGGGGCTTGTCTGCAAACTGAGCTTTACCCCTTTAAGAAGAGGCAGGTTTTTCTGTTTCCTGGCTCACCCCACCCCTCCTGCCCGGCATCTGAAACCTGATCTAATCCCTTTGCACGCGGGTAATTTATTGGTCTATTGGGCTTTTCTTGGTGGCAAATTGCATTGTCTTTATTCCTGGGTTCAGGCTGTGGAGCGGCTCACCGCATTCCTAAGACTCCTTTCTCAGGGCCCGTCCCTCACACCCCCTCTGCGCACAGCCAGTACGTTTTATTGGGCTTCTTTGTCATGCAAACAAGGCGGTAATAATCAGGCTATTATTCTGAAAGATTGGGCTTGATTAACAGTTCAAAGGAGGTCTCTAAAAGCAGCTAATGCCGCTCTGGTGCGCTCTGGTGGGTAAATATTTTCATCCCGCCTGGGATGGTGCAGCTGGTAACTAACTCCACGCTCCCTGCCTCCCTCTTTCTGTTTCTCAGAGGTGCTGGGTTGCTAAGGACAGTCATTAAGCCAGAAAAGCTGTGTGGCTGTGATTTCTCTCTCTGCTGTGTCTCAGTTCACAGGGGAGGTAGCCTGGAGCCCACCTCCCCCAAATGCGAAATGTGACATCTGTGGGGTGGTGCTGAGGGAGGAGCGAGGGAGCCAAGGATTCCGGGACAAACACGAGGGGCTCCTGCTCTCAGGGGATTCGAGGGCAGGAGGTGGCACTGGAGCTGAGGTATCATGGACGACACAGACAGTTCAGCCAGGCCCACAGAGCGGCTGGAGGGTGAGGCCAAGGGTGATGACACGGGAGAGCCAGGGGACTATCTTCGATTTCGGATTGGCAATGTCTGAGCCTTTTCTGTGTGGCTCTACAAGATGGATTGAGGTCCCATGCAAGTCCCTGGGGAGGCAGGGGTGGGTCCACAGCTGGAGTATCCTAGAGCAGGGGGACCAGCCCTGCGCTAGCTGGGCTCAGTGGCAGTGGACGCTGGATGTCCACCAGACCGTGCTACAGGGAGATTTCCTACCTTGGGGACTGGCTGGAGGTAGAAACCATTGACCTTTGGCTCTGGGTTTTAAAACTCCTACGGTGCACCTTGAGACGGCAACACAGAGGCTGGTCACAAAGTGATCATTAGGGCTTTTGATAGAGTCCATTGCACAGAGGACAGAGAGCGCTGGCCTTCATTGCATGAGTCAGGAACAAACAGGTCAGATGGTTGCCCAGGGTTCCCTCCAGCCCCAGTAAGCCTGGGAGACCCGAGAGTAGGCAACACCTGCACCGTCCTCTTTCCCCAGGCCAGACACATCTCTGCAGTCTCTGGATTCTCCTGTTTGTCCCCCTGTAGCTAGTTCTGAAAGTGCTGTCCTAAGGTGCCTGGGTCGAAACAAAAGATGCATAATGGGCTTCAAAGGAACTTCCGTGACTGTGCGGTGCCTTTGCATTTTTCTGGGCATCTGCGGTACAGCCCTGGGTATGAGAGCTAGCAGAGGCCCCAAGCACCGTCCCTGCCAGAGGACATAGTGGCCAAGATGGAAATATTATATCCAGTCAGTTTCTTTAATTCCCTGGCTCCGACCTCATTGACTGTCTTGGATCCATCCAGGGGTGGCCGAAGGGCCAGAAAGGGCTGCCTTGCTGTCTGCAGCCATGTCTCTGCAAGGGGCTTGCACCGGTTACCATAGGACCTGTGTCAAACTCTCAGACTCTCCTCTCCTTGCTTCTTGGACACTCACATCAGAAAAGGTCGAGGTTTACTGCCCAGAATTCAGGTCTCATGGTTTTTTATTAGAGATACTGAACATAAAAATCAGCGCCCCTGGGGTCTCTTTGGCAGGTGACACCTCAGCCGAGAGCTCTCCTTTTTGATACCAGGCCCAGTTGCATTCTGGTCCCTGACCTGGGAGGCCTTCAGCCTATGATTTAATGGGGCGGACATGGGGAGGCAGGATGGCTCCCAGGGGATCGGAGGCCCCTTGTTACACCATCATGGGGACTGTCCAGCCCTGGCATCCCTGACGCCCTTCCCCAAGTCTACAAGGAAATGATGGCCCCATGCATGTCCACTTGAGGCACTCGGGCCCTGAAGAGCTACGTCAGCCCCTGGAGAGGTGACAGAGAGGAACAGTAGTCATCAATTCCATTCCCAGCCTGTCACTCTCAGTGGCCTCTTGCAAGCCAGCCCCCACCCTGATCTACGGTTTCTCCACCTAGAATGGTGCATGGGCTCCCTCTTCAACTTGTAAGAAGATGTGCAAAGACTGAAGCTTTCAAGCAGCTGGGGACACCTGGGAAGTCAGATGTGTTGAAGCCATAGTCCTCAGGCAGGGTCATTTGTAGCCATCATGAGGGTCTCAAAGCTTGTGGGGGGCTTTTTTTTTAAACCACGCATTGTGTAAATCCAGAGTTACCACCCTCACTTGCTTCCTATCTTGGTCACCTGAGCAGGAGAGAGAGGGGGAAGCTAAGCGGATGAGGCCAGCAGAACCAGGCCCTCTGTGAGGAGGGCTGATCCAGTATCATACTAGCCATCACTCACTGAGCTTCAGCTGCATGCTGGTGCCTTTCTAAGTCCCCTCTCCCTTCCAGCAACCTCACACGATAGCTACTGTGACCCATTTTCCAGATGAGTACAGTGAGACACAGAAAAGTTAAGTTTTATTTGCACAAGGTCACACAGTAGCAGAGCCTGGAATGCACTCACTCCCTGCCAGATTTCTTCCACTGTTACCAAATTCTTAGGGGGTAGCTGTGAGTGTGTTAACAGATGTCAGAGGCCCGCTGCCATAGTCCTGCTGCCCCCGAAACACTGACCACTCCCCTCCACAGACTGGGAGCTATGGGAGGGCTGCCACAGCCCTCGCAGCTGGTGGGAATGCATGCCTGGCCTCGTGGGGTTATTATGGGCTTTGCGGAAGAATCTGGACCACTGAGAGCCTGCATTTCATTACTACCTTCGAGTGTTTTTTTCTCCAACTGTGTGGGCGCTGCCGCCTCAGATAGGGTGTTCTTGGGTGTGCGCCCCCCCCCCGATGACACGTCCCTTCCTTTCTCTTCAGCCACCTCCCCGTGCAAGATCCTCAAGTGCAACTCTGAGTTCTGGAGCGCCACGGCAGGCGGCCACGCCCCAGCCTCAGACGACGCCCCGGAGTTCTGCGCCGCCCTGCGCACCTACGCGCTGTGCACACGGCGCACGGCCCGCACCTGCCGGGGCGACCTGGCCTACCACTCGGCGGTCCATGGCATAGAGGACCTCATGAGCCAGCACAACTGCTCCAAGGACGGCCCCACGTCGCAGCCGCGCCTGCGCACGCTCCCGCCGCCGGGCGACAGCCAGGAGCGCTCCGACAGCCCCGAGATCTGCCACTATGAGAAGAGCTTCCACAAGCACTCAGCTGCCCCCAACTACACGCACTGCGGCCTCTTCGGGGACCCGCACCTCAGGACTTTCACAGACCGCTTCCAGACCTGCAAGGTGCAGGGCGCCTGGCCACTCATCGACAACAATTACCTGAACGTCCAAGTGACCAACACCCCTGTGCTGCCTGGGTCTGCTGCCACGGCCACCAGCAAGGTGAGGGTGCGGCTGTGGCAGCCTGTGGGGTCCCCTCGCCCAGGTCCTGCTGTCGGGTGGCCCCAACCTGGCCTTCTACCCACCCGGGTGCCTCCTGCGCCCAACCGTGTTCTCATCTCAGTAAATGGGCGGGTTATTTAGAAAGGAAGGAGAGACTTTTAATGTTACATAGAGTGTGGTGCTGCTCAAACTGCTGCACACCTGCACTGTGGGTTTGTGAAATCGGCTTTCAGGACGGGGAGGTATCAGAAACCACATATATATGGTTTATGGAATCAGGCAGGGTGGAACAGGGTGGTAGAAGCTGGCATACCTAAAAGGCAGTTTACGAGTGCCTGTACATGGTTAGGGTGAATGTTTGAGGAAACCTAGTTTCTGTCGTGTGTGTGTACACGTGTGGCCCAGACGATGGCACAGCCCTGTCCACCCCAGATCCACCTCCCGTGATCTCATGTGCAGACTCAGCCGAAAGGAGGCGAGTGGACTCTCTAGAGTCCAGGTTCTGGGGCACCTCTTCCCCCTTAGGCCCTGGCCCTCAAGGGTGTTTCTGCTCCTTGCCATCCCTCCTTGCCCCAGAGGACAGCGAGGTGACCTGGCAGCCAGGAAGATCCCCGCCACTTCCCTCTGTGCCGGTGGCCTTTGCACGCCCACAGAGGGTCTCCTTCTGAGATCAGCTGCTGGGTAGGAAACAAGCGGGTCTTCACCCCATGGACGTACTCACAGGCTCTTAGTGCCAGGCCTTGCAGCCTGGTGACAGCAGGGTTGTGGCCTGCTTTCTCTTTGCACTGTCCCACTCCTAGCCCCCCACAGACTGAGGGGGGCCCACCCATGTCAAGAACCCCCTTGGCATTCTCTGCAGCCCTTTCACCTACCCACCTCCCACCCTAGATCAAGATAAATTAATACTGGGAGCCTGGGGCTGCAGTTTCTAAATCCAGCAGCAAACACACTCACGGAGGCGGGGTGCCTCTGTGTCCCATGCCAGCAGGGGCATGTGGGAAGGGACCTGCCCCTCCTAAACCAGTGAGGTATAAGCACCAAATGTGATAACAGAGCCAGGGGAGGAATTGTGATTAGTGACCAGCCAGGCTGGGCTTCTGCCCCTAGTGACTGGGGGGTGGAGGGAGACACAGTGGAGCGAGAGCCATTAGGCCACAAATGACTGGAGCCTGCAGACTGGGATAGTGTGGGCTTAGAGCCCCTTGGCCCCGCCCTCAGCTCCCTGCTGACACACACTGGGGCACTGAGCCCAGCGGTGCTGTCCAAAACCCAGATGGATTAGCCACTCATTCTTATGCTCCGTTCTCTCACTCGGCTGCATTTTTCCAGTGCCTGCTCTGCTGCAGGCTCACTGCTGGGAACTGTAGCTGCAGGCCTGCCCCAGCTGTCCAGTTCCCAGAAGGTATTGGGTCCCTGAAGCAGAGCAGGACTCGCCCAGCCCCCCTCTGCTGCGGTGCAGACCCACCTTGATTTTGCAGCGGGCTGAGAGTGCAGCGGCTTTCTGCTCTGTCCCCATCAGCCACGAGGCAGCATATGGCCCTGCTAGAGACCCAACAATGAGAGGATCACTGCCTGTGCCACCTGGGCAGACCACGGCTTCATGGTGCTGGGGTGAGAGGTGTCGTGGCTGTTTTCCGGGGCCCAGGTCCTGCCCCGATGCAAAGGGGTGTGTGTTGGTCCGTTCGTTGAGTCAGCAAACACCTACTGGACATCTCTTCTGTGTCAGCCTCTGTGCTGGGGTTGGCCTGCCACCCATAGCTTTCAAGCTAATAATGGAAAACAGAGACCAGCAGATGGTGCTGATGCTGAGGGCTCTGCCCAGAGCATTGGGGGCGGCCTCCTGCAAGTCCTGGCACTGAGCCCACCCCCCAGGGCGGGTGTGGGCGACTGCAGAGCCAGGCTTAGCATGGATGCATCCTGGAACCCCGAGGGAAGGAGAAGCTGAGGTCTTTTATCTCTGAGGTGATGCTGCCTGGGCTTTTTCAGCCCTGGCAGGAACCCCCTACTCACTCGACCCCTCTCCCCTCCAGCCTGCCCTCAGTGTGGTGCATTTCCTCATTTCCCACGGTAATGCCATTATCCTGCCCAGCCCATCCATTTGTTCTTGTGGAAGAGCAAGATCTGGTCTGCCACTTTAGCCAACCTCCCACCCCATGGGACTGCCTGCCACACCTGTCTCCTTCCAGCTGTGCTGGTCGCTCCCCATGCCGCAGGTGAGGGGACAGGCTCAGGGAGCAGAGAGAGGCACTCTGGCCTCTGCCCCCCATCCCCTCTCCCTGTCGCTGGTCCCTCATTGTCATGGGCTGCATGATTCACCTCATCCGCTTGGTCTGCGACCCCTGCCGCCCCCACGCCCGAGTGGGCTCCGTGAGGACTGGAGTCTTGGACTGTTTTGTTCCCTATGTGGATGCAGCCCCTAGTACCAGGCCTAGCGTGTTGTTGGCGCTCCGTGAACAGTTGTGGATGAAGCCCGGGCTCTGCCCCGTGCCCACACAGTGGGGAGGGAAGGGGGGCAGCACAGGCAGGAGTGGCGGCCCCGCCCGGGGCCCTGTTGGCAGGGAGCCGCTGGCTTTCGACAGGCCCCCTTCATGCTGTTACTTGTGGTTGAGTCGCTGGCACCGGTGCCAAGAGGAGTCAAGCCGCCTGTCAGCCTTCCAGGAGACTGTCTCCAGGAGAGATGGCAGTTAGAGCAAAACCAGCCTTTCCTGTTCCAGGGAGACGGATGGCACTTGGAAAGCAGCCGCCCCCCCACCCCACCGCCCGGCCCCCCATGCACATGGTGTCTGTACACCAGGCAGGGACACCAGAGTCCCTCATCCTGCGCCCCCTCCTCCAATGACAGGACCACCCACTGCCCAGACCACCCTGGCTGGCCCACCTCCCGGGCCCCCCCCCCCCTCGCAGGCAGCTTCCACATCAGGGCGGGAGCCTTGGATGGAGAGAAGGAAGCAGCAGGAGGTAGAACCATATGAAGTCGCCGTTTTTTATAAGCCAGGGATGGTAGTGAGCGGCAGTTTCATATGGTTCTATGTAGAGGGCTCTAAGCAGGATGGAGAGGCTGCAGCCACTTTTATGGTCCCACAGAGCTTGTCCCTGTGCCCCATGTAGACAGCAGAGCTGCAGGTGCCCTTGGTCCAGGGAGTAGTGGCCTTAGAGGCACCAGGTGAGCCAGGTAGCAGGAACAGGAGAGTCTGTAGTTGCTTCTCCCAGTTTTGCTCGTCTCCAGCCCATGCAGTTGTCCTAGTTAGGATTTTACAGGAAAGAAGCCAGATGCCTCTGCCAGGGTGATGGGTGTAGGGGATTCACACTCACGTCCTTCTCCCAGGCTTCCCATACTCTGGACTGGAGGCCTCAAAGCCCAGGGACTGGGAACAGACACTGGTCCCAGCTCTGCTGTTTGCTGGCTGTGTGACCTTGGGCAAGTCTCTTTACTGAGTTTCTTTGTAAACAGGAGCTAATGTCACCCTCCCCTGCAGTGCCACACAGGACTAGGGCTAGTAAATGTGGTGCTCAGGGCACTGATGCAGTGAGTGTGCCTGTGTCCTTGGTCCAGGGAGGTCAGTAACTAACATGACCCATCAGGGGCTCGGCCCAGCCCCGCCCCCTGCCGTGGGCTCAAGTGCAAATGGACCTCCCAGCTTCAGCCCCGGCCAGGGTTTTGCTTTCGGCCCGGAGACCCCATCTTCTTTGTGCGGGTCTGCACCTTCCTCCTCTCCCTCTGCCTCCTGCTCCCCTCCAAGGCCTGCCTGTGTGGCCTTTGCCCCCTCATTCTTTCTTCTAGCCATCAGCGTCTTCTCTTCCACCTGCTATTACATCCAGGCCTCCAGCCCTTGCCAGGAGACAGCCCAGGGCAGCTCTGAGGTAACCATCCCACAGCTTGCAGTCCTTTTTCAGGAATTCTGCTGGAGGCCCACTGCACTGTGAGAGATGGTGTGAGGCAGTTGTGCACCGTATTAGTTTCATATTGCTGCTGTAACAAATACCACGAACCAGCGGTTCAAACAAACAGAACTTTGTTCTCTTGCGGTTCGGGAGATGAGAAGTTTGCTACGCATCTTACCGGGCTAACATCAAGGTATCAGCGGGGCAGGTCCTTCCAGAGGCTCTAGAGGACAGTTCATTCATTGTCTTTTCCAGCCTCTGGTGGCTGCCAGCACGCCTCAGCTTGTGGCCACATCGCTCACTCGAGTCTCTGTCACTGGAAACAACCTTTTTTTTGGTCAGATCTCCTCCGCTTCCATCTTGTAAGGATACTTGGGGTTGCGTTTAGGGCCCAACCCAGGTAATCCAGGATCATTTCTGCACCTCGGACCCTTCATCTGATGCCCTCTGCAGCGCTGTGTGTGCTACCTGGTCACACTCACAGGTTACAGGGATGAAGGCCCTCATCTGGGGGGCCCTGTTGTTCAGCCCATTGCAGTTCGTAAGGGTTTTTCATTTTTAATTAACACTGCTTTTCTTTTTATGGTTCACTCTTCTATATAGTAAATGAGCTGGTTTTTATTTAGTGTAATGATACAAAGTTCCCATTCTAAACTAGTTTTTTTGGGGGGGAGGGAGTAAAAACTAGTTGTTTTCAAGAAAATTACTAAGTGCCTAATAGGGCAGGGATAGTCCAAGGCACCCTGGGGCCCCTTCCTGCCTCCGTGGAGCGCTGTGAGCCTGGGGCTGGGCCCTCTCCTCCGGCAGTTGTCCAGCCCATCTAACCCCACTCTCCACCTGCTTCCCTGCAGCTCACCATCATCTTCAAAAACTTCCAGGAATGCGTGGACCAGAAGGTGTACCAGGCTGAGATGGACGAGCTCCCAGCTGCCTTTGCCGACGGTTCCAAGAACGGTGGGGACAAACACGGGGCCAACAGCCTGAAGATCACAGAGAAGGTATCGGGCCAGCATGTAGAGATCCAGGCCAAGTACATCGGCACCACCATCGTGGTTCGCCAGGTGGGCCGCTACCTGACTTTCGCGGTCCGCATGCCAGAGGAGGTGGTCAATGCCGTGGAAGACCGGGACAGCCAGGGCCTCTACCTCTGCCTGCGGGGCTGCCCCCTCAACCAGCAGATCGACTTCCAGGCCTTCCATGCCCATGAGGGTCTGGGTGCCCACAGGCCTCAGGCTGCCAGCCCCGCCCCTGCTGCCCCCGACACCTTCCCATACGAGACGGCCGTGGCCAAGTGCAAAGAGAGGCTGCCCGTGGAGGACCTCTACTACCAGGCCTGTGTCTTTGACCTGCTCACCACAGGGGACGTGAACTTCACGCTGGCTGCCTACTATGCTTTGGAGGACGTCAAGATGCTCCACTCCAACAAGGACAAGCTGCACCTATATGAGAGGACACGGGAGCCACCCAGCAGGGCGGCCACTGCAGGGCTGCCTCCAGCCCCCCGGCTCCTCCTGGGCAGCCTTCTGCTCCTCGCCCTGCTCCCTGTGTTCCTGGAGGCCCTTGCTGCATAGGATGGAGAGTCGCACTGCCTGTCACCAAGCCAGCCTGCAGCTGCAGAAGCGTTGGCTGCTTCCCAGTGGCCCCTCGGTCTCTCTAGGGGCCAGAAGCGAAGGCAGCAGCCGGCCGGTGAGCTGTGGGACGGTTACCTCAGAACTGCCTTGGGCTGTCTGCTGGCAAGGGCTCGGGGCGCGGGGCGGCCCCTCACCCTCCCAGGGCCTTGGACAAGGCGGTGGTGACTGACTGGTGCTGTGACGTCTGTGATAGTAGAGCTGTGTGAGGGGGAGAGCGGCTCCCCCCTGCCCACCCGCAGTGTGAATGTGCAAAACCGAGCCCCTTGGGCTGGAGCCCCCGCCCCGCCAGAGACACTGGGAAAGGTCAGAGTCAGCTCCTCCCGCCCCACTGCAATGCACTGAACGGCCCGGCCGACTGCTGCACGCGCCCACCCGCCATACGCGCACACTCTTCCACGAGCACACTCGCACACACTGAGCTGGCAGGGCGGGGGCACCCTCAAGGCTGGACCCCCGGCAGGGCCTTCTTTCCCGTGGGGCCTTAGGGCACCCAGATCCCTGCCTCAAGAGCTCCCAGCTGGGGACAGTGGGTGTTGGCACTTACTCGGAGCAACGCCACTCGTGGGCTCGGATACCCTTCTCTGGCCCCCCTCCTCATTGTGCTTAGAAAGTTGAGTTGAGTTTCTAAATGTCTGAACAGAGAACTACCCTTTGATTTCTGTTCCTTCCTCTCCAGCAGATGGTAAGGCCCCCCGGGCAGGGGGGCTTGGGCCACAGGGCATGGGCAGGAGACCAGCGGATAGGGCCAGCTGGCCTGCCCTGATCCTCTGCTCTCCCCAGCTGCTCCCCAGAGCCCTGCTCCCCACCCCATCCACACAGGGCTGTGTCTGGGGAGAGGAGCAGCCTTGGCAGGGTCTCCCCCATTGGGTCCCTTCCCTTAAGCCTGGGGCCACACAGCCAGGAGAGACCTGCTGCTGGGAGCCCCGGCTGTCCATCCAAGGAGCCCCGGACCAGCCTTGCCTCTGCTGCTGCCCCAGAGAACTGCAGGGTCCAGCACCAGCCTGGGCCCCACTCCCAGAGGGCCATGTCCCCAGAAGCCCCGAAGCCCCTCACTGTCCCCACCTGCCCGCTGGCACCAATTTGGCCCTTCTGCTGTTCCCCAGGGACCTCTCATACACTGGCCTCCCCCTCCAAGAGGTCCCCTCTCTGCCAAACCTGGGCAGGCGGGTGGGAGGGGCGGGGCCCCTACTGTGTTTTGGACAGCCCCTATGTTGGAAGGAAAAAGTGAAGCACTTTATTTTGGTTGTGTTTGCTCACATTCTGCTTGGAAGCGGGGACCCCTCACTGCGTCCTTGTGTCTGTGACCTGTGTGGAGTGTCACTGCGTGTACATACTGTAAATTATTTATTAATGGCTAAACGCAAGTAAAGTTTGGGGTTTTGTTTTGTTACTTTCCTCTGGGCTATGTGTTGGAGTTTGTTTTCAGAACGGACTGCTTCCTTTGGCGGCTGGTGAGGTGACCGGCAGTGAGCGTCCCCTTGCCATGTCCTGACAGCGTGTTTGGGGAGGGAGCCAGCACGTGTGGGTGCACCTGCTGTTCGCGTGTGCAGATGATGGAGCAACCGAACCACCAAAGCCCCTGCTTTTCTAAAATTACTTTCTATCCTTACGATGTGCTGTCTTGGGGCTGGAGTGGTCCAGGTTCCCTGGCTGTGGTGGGGGTGGAACAGAGTCTCAAGGACACATGGGAACATTGCAGAAGGATGTAAGGTGCCCTTTGGGGCGAGGGTGTGTGCGCCGGCCTGAAACCCAGGCTGACTCCATCACGGTGGTCGGTCTGGAGCCTCAGACCTGGAACTGTTGCTGCTCCCCTCCCCCAGGGTTCCTCTGCCACACGCAGCCTGGTCAAAGAGTGACGGCTCCACGTTGCCAGGGCCACCCACATCTGTGCGAAGGACCGAGGCTGACTTGCGGTCAGGTTCACTGCTGTCAACATTGCATCCTGTCAAACTGCTCAGTGCTCCAAAAAGCAATGCATGCCCATTTTACAGGTGAAGAAATGGATACTCGAATGTGAGCTGCCTTGCCAGGGATTCCTTAGCCAGGAGCCGGGCCAACTAGGTCCACTCCTGCTCTTGGCACTGCATGCTGTGTGGCAGAGCAGCAGCAGAGTCGAGCCAGGCTGCATTCTTGTTCCTCCACTTTTCTAGCTGTGTGACCGTGGGCAAGTCACTTAACCTCTCTGAGCCTCCATTCCCACCTCTGTAAAATGAGGGGTGCATATCATATCAGGCTATGGGAGATTGAGTTAACTCTTGTACAGTACTTAGGCTGAGGATTGGCACGCAGGGAGTGTCCTGTGTTGATGGTATTCCTTCAAAGCCGGGAGGGGTTGAGTCAGATGGTGGGTGGGAAGAGAAGGGAGAGGGCCACGTAGAGCCTAGAAGCTTGGGAGGGATGTGAACTGAAAGGCTAGCAAGGGAGGGGAGGAGTCCAGAGTGAGAATGTCCACCAGTCCCAACCATGCAGAGGAAGGCTCAAAGTAGGGAGAACTTTCTAGAATACAACTCTTACACTTCCAGAGAGAACCTGGGGAGTCTGGGCTTTGAAAGTGACAAAGCCTGGCTGGATCCAGCGTACCCTTGAGTCTTAGACCCAGTTGCCCAAACTGTCAGTACCAAGGGGCCTCTCCCTCCCAGCAGAAACCAGATGAAGTGGGGCGGGGGTGTGCTCAGCCAGCCCAGAAGAACTGACCACTGAAGTCAGGGCGCACAGGCATTTTTTAAAAAACCTTGTTCACCGTCAGATGAAAATGCTACGTTCCTTGCCAGAAATATCCTTGGTTTGGAATTTGTCCATCCCTCCATTCGGGATGGAGTTCTTCTCCACGTCCCTTGCTACCAGCTGCCCTCCTGAACATGGAAATTCGTCATGTGAATATGGAACACAGAGGCTTGTGCTAAATGGTTCCCAATAAGCGGCTGTGTCGCACACGGCGGGCTGGGTGGGAGCGGGTCTCCCGTGCCAGCTTCCTTGCGGCCAGTTGGCCCGCAGTGAGTACATTTGCAGATGGAGGTGCAGCCCCTCGCTTTAGACTCAGTGACATGCGGCAGGAATCTTGCACGTGTTGGTTGTTGGAGAACCAGAATGGGTAAGAAGACAGGACAGAAACAGCTACTAAAAACGAATGAATGAGGGTGGCTTATAAGGGGAGGCAAACCCTGGGGTGAAAAGAATGAGCAGAACACGGGGCCGGAGTGGGTCTCCTCCGAGCGATGGCGGGGAGCAAGGGGTGGTCTCAGGCGGCAGGCTGACTTGGCATCCAAACTGGCCCTGCCTGTCGCTAGCTGTGTGGTCTGCCTTGGATTTTCTGAGCCTTAGATTCCTTATTTGTAAAGTGGAATTATGAGTACCTACCTCCCAAGGTCATTCTAGAAACCCAATGAGCTAACACTCATAAACTGCCTGGCACCTGGGCCCTGGTGCAGGGCAGGGGCCACCGAAAACAGCGGGCCCTCCCTGCTATAGTTGTGTGCGTGTCTGTTCTTGGACAGTTAAATAAAAGGTTCTGAGAGAGATACACCCTGCCTCGGGGGAGGGTGGGAGAAGCTTTCATCTCTGGTGGGGTCGTCAGCAGCAGGGAGGGGAACTTCTGACTCACTCACTCGCATGAATTTGGGGAGCCAGACATGCAGAGATCTGGGGGGAACATTCTACACAGAGAAAAGGGTGAGTCAGGGACCGGGCATAGCGACAGCAGGAAGGGACGGACTGGACGGCAGTGAGTGGACACACCAGGGTCCACAGTGATGCCACAGAGAGGCCCAAGCCCAGCAGGCCTTGCCAGCTGGGGCACAACTTAGCATTTCTATTCCAGCTTCCATTAAGAAACCATTCGCAGGTTTTGAGCGTGGGAGCAGTTATGCCTGACTGGGGTTTTGAAGGACCTGGTCCAACTGCTGTAGAAAGCTAAGGGCAGGACCATCAGGAGAGAAAGAGGAAGGCAGGGGCTGTGACACCAAGCCAGACAGAAGTGGGCGGTGGTGGCCATGCAGGAGATGACACAGTGGTCAGCTCTGGGTTTAAGGTGAAGGCAGAGTGGACAGGGTCTGGGGAGTAAGAACTTGAGAAGGGACCGATGTCCCACTGCAGGGGTGCTCAGGAAGACCGATTCCGGGAAATGACAACAGGAGGGTGCCCCAGTCTGCTGGGGAGACAGTTGTGACAACGTGGGGGTGGCAGATCGCCTCTGGTCACAGGGAAGGGACAGTCAGGAATGGGAACCAGACAGCAGGATTCAGTGCAGCTGCTCAGAGGAAACTAAGCATGAACTGAGTTCTGACGGTGAACAAGGTTTGGCAGAAGGTAACAGAGGAGTAGGGAGGAGGCGGCATCCCAGGGGCACAGCTCTGGCTCAAGGACCCGAAATGGCAAGAGCAGTGAGCTGGCTGCAGTCAGGACTCTCAAAGAGACGGAACAGTTCACAGCGGCCAGCAGGGGCAGCCCACAAGGGGGCCTGGGGCCCAGACCAGGAAGCTTAGAGTTAGGGTGAGTTATGGGGAGCAACAGTGACGCCTGGGCCTTGTGGCTCAGGATGCTCCCTCTGGCTGCCACATGAGTGGAAGGGAGAGGCAGCTGGACCCAGGAGGAGAAGCCTGTGTATCCCTGGCTGAGGTGATGGTATGGCAGGGGCTGCCCCTCAGCCCAGGAGCGGGGCACAGAACCCAGCTGCCAGGCTCACTGGTCAGCCGATACACCTCTACCGGTTCTGGTCCCTAACACCTCCCACGAGCCTCATCTACAGGCTCTGCAGCCACACAGGACTGCTGAGCACAAAGGAATGAGAGCTGCACCTTTGAAGGGTGTCTGGGTTGGAGCCAGTGCTGGGGCCAGGCAGGCCATTAGTGGGAATCTGCCACCCTCTGCTGGACAGTTCTAGAACCACATGCATGCAGGCCCCACCTGGGGTGGCTGGTGTGATCTCCAACCAGCGTCAGGGATGCCTGACACTGTTCTCCTGACAATGATGGGTGCTGAGCCCACCACGTGTCACCTCAGTGGTCTCACTCACCCCACCACGGCCTCACAAGGGGCTCTCTGAACCACAGCTCTGGAGACACAGAAGGCCGACAGGTTCGCACCCCGGTCCACCCCACCCCCAGAGCAGCCCCTCCCTCTCCCTCCAACAATCTCCCAGGTCTTTTCTCCCAGGCTGCACATCTCACCTGACATTTCAGCCCCTGGTTTGCTTGTCTAGATTCTGCGTCCATCTCTTGACTAAGAGGTCAGGGGCTCATCCTGGTTCAGTGTGTCCCCAGCTCCTGGAACAGGCCCAGGCCACAGCCAAGACTCGAGATCTTGGTCAAGGAGAAAACCTTGCTCTGCTGTAACTGGTCCCGGCTGTACTTCCGCCATCCTGGGAGCTCTCTGAAGGTTCAGGATGGGCCTGCCTCCTGCGGTTGAATCCCCCCCAGAGCCTAGGGCTCCGATGGTCTGTCAAGCTCTGGGCTGAGGGCTGCTGGGGCACAATGCTACTAAGTAGGCCAGCACATCCAGTCCCCCACCCCACTTCAGCCCTGCACTGAGGAGCACTGTCACTCTCCTGGTAGCCCCTAGGGTGTAGAAACCTTTCCCTTTCATGTTTGAGCTCTCAACTTAAAAACCACATTAACACTCAAAGCTGCCTCCCTTTGCAAATGACAAGGCCAACTGCCTAACCACACACAGGGAAGGCCTGAAAGAGGACTTTCCTGCCCAGTCCCTTCAGACTGCTGCCTCCCGGAGGCCACCACAGTGCCTGTGGTCGAGAACTGAACTTTGTTAACAACTCCTTCAGGTCACGAAAGAAATAGAGATACCGGGTGAGAACCCTTCCTGGGCAGCTGGCCCTGAGTAGTGAGGGTATTCTATCTTTGAGATGAGCAGCCTGTAAGCCCCAGACTTGTCCAGGTTCCCACACTAACCCAGGTCACATGGCCCCAGAGCTGCGCAGGAAATCCTGGTGTCTGGCCTAGCGCAGGGTCCACCAGCTACCCAGGTTTCTATGGGACAAAGAAGGCTGGTCCAGGGCTTAGGACAAACTGGCCTGGCTCCTTTAAGAGCCACACATTGGAACCCAAAGCCCAGACTGGTCTGGCAAACTGCAGTGCCTTGTGTTTCAGTAAGTGACCTTTATGTTGGCACTAATTGAGGACTTGCCTTGATGACAGACGTGCTCGGCCCGCCAAGCAAGAGGGAGGAGGCCCGGGCTTGCTGCTTCCAGTAAAAGGCAGGCGTTTTGGCAGGAGGCAGTTGAGAAGCTTCGTTGCTATTGTAAATCGTAATAAGCTGATTATTGCAGCACTTGTTCTTAAACTTCCCCCACTTCGTTCCAGCTGAGTTATGAATTACAAAACGGCTGTGAGTTTATCAGCAGGAAGAACCCTCAACTCTTCTTTCAGTCTCTGACTTAAGAG